TCTCTCACGAGTAGAGGAAAAGACTCCTACCTGAAAGCTTTTCTTCCACCTGGTTATATTTTATGGTCCCATTCACACCAGATGGAAGAGTGACAGGAACAAAACAAACTGCTTTTCCGGAAAGCATCTCCCTTCACTGCTCTGATAAACTGGTTACCAGCAAGGACTCTGACAGGCTTTCAGGTGACTAATCTGCTGGTCCAGTGATCAATGAATGACTACAGTAATCCGATTGTAAGGGCTACAGGCTTCCCAACATAGACACATGCTGGGGAAGCTGCACTGAAAAAAAAAAAAAGCATGAACAGAAAGTGGTGGGGGAGAAAGGGGAACAGATGTGAAGTCAGGAGAGTGCACTGCTGGCAGGGAAGGAGAAATGAGGTCAAGAGCCAATAAGCAGGAACAGCAGTATCTGCTGAATAGCATTTGCTCACCAAGAGCAGCAGTATTAGGCCTCTATTTAAAAAAAAACAACAAAACAGTGTGCAGAAGACAAGCATCAGGAAAATGGGTGGCTGCAGAGCATTAGAGCCCACAGAAATACCCTGGCTACCAGCCTGCCCTGCTGCCATCACTACCCACACTTCATGTCCTCTGTCTTGAAAACAATCAGTGATGCTGCTGCCTGGTGGGAGGATGCTGGATAAACCTCAAGGAGAGTGCAGTGGATCAGATATTTTGTTTGTCATCCACAGCAGAACTGCAAGACAGGATATTCTCCTAGGAGTCAGCCCTCATGTAGCAAGGATTCCACTTTGATACCATACCTAGAGAAAGCTGGGGAAGGCAATTAACTGCCTCCCCTGCATGGACTGTTTGCAAAAGAAGAGAAGCTTCCTACATGCAGTATTGATTTGGTTTGGCACAACAGAGCCCACTGTATGTCCTACCCCAACTCTCACTCTTCTTCCAGTCTGTAATCTTGTGTAGTGCACCAAGGTATTGGTGTGAATGTCAGGTGGTTAAATATCCCTTTGACACATTTTTTCTACAGATGGATCTGACCTGTAATTCCTTGTCAGTGATTAATTAACTGACAGAGAGAGCCACATGTCAGAAGGCTTATCTCAGGCATGAGGCAGACCTGAAGAACAGTCAGTATGTCTGCGAGTGGCCTTACCTTCCAACTAGACCAGTTATTACCAGGAGCTGTCTTGCCTTTATACTCTGATTGTCTCAGGCTCAGCAAAGCGTGAACACCAACTCACTACACAGGTACATCCAAAGTCAATTCAATTCTCCTCACCTCAGTTTCCTATTCATAAAAAACTCATTAAAACGTTCAACCACCCTGATAAAAAGCTGATTAATATTAATATTCAACTTCAGTATCTGCAATCTCCATCAGCATATAATCACCATATATTTCAGGTGACCTGAATGTACCCTGCACATCCCTTTTTAAGGAAGTGGTTGGTTTGATTGTTTTTAAATGGGATGCCTGGTGAATTTAAAAAATGGCTTGTATACTTATTTTCATAACATAGAACAACATGAAAATTGTAATATGAGATGTGAACACCAATTCAAATACAATAGCTTGCACATAAAATAACAGAAACAACTCAGTCATGCACGTTTTTTAAAAACTTTAAAGAAAATTTGTGCATCAGCCCCAAAGTCTCCCAAATATTGATTTTCCTTTGTATAAAAAACAATGCAAAGGTGTAAAGGAAAAAAAAAAAATCTAACATTCTCAGAGTAGCAAATGGCACCAGGAATGTCTATAATTGAACATTTGAGTAACGTGGACCATGTTTATCACCTGTCAGGTTTTCCTGCATTAGACCAATTAATTTGGCATTACCCAGTGCACCCGACTCACGGTTCAGTTAGAAAAAATTCTCACATTGAAGACATTTGTTAGGCAGGTTTTCAAAGAAGTACTGCTCCATCTCTGTAGTTCATGTCTCCCTGTATTTCAGCTGCAAGAAACCACTGACACAGGGAAGACGGATGTCAGGATTCAATTTAGTCTACTTAGTCTTTTACAAGACCAAAATTAGCTTCACCTTGATTAACTTAGTTTCTCCACAGACTACCTAATGGATCTACCCCAATTTACTCGGCCTTTAGATCACTTACTTAAGGAAGTGTCATCTTACTTAAGTGATCTGATGCTAATTTCTCACTTTAAATAAGCATAAGACTGATTAGTTTGAATTTTTTAAGACCACGGCATTTCTTATGCCCCATCCATATGAAGTGTGGGACTTTTCAACACAGTGCCAAAAGCCTCCTACAAATAGCTAAGTACCTTCAGTGTTTTTCATACAAACCCAAGGAATAATACTGAGGCTGTCAGTGCTGGACAGAATTTATCCTTCTTAATAATAAGGAAGCAAAAGACAACCATAAATGAATCTGAGACTGATGACTTAGAAGGAATGCTATGCCACAATAAGCCTAGCTAATTATCCAGGGCCCACTGCAAAGTACTGGAAAAAATCCCACCTTTGTATTTGACAGGACTTGGAGCAGTAGCCCTTTATGGGGCAAAGGACCTTTAAAATGTTTTCTACATTAACCCCACAAAAGAAAATTTCCTTTGACAAAAACAAAACAACAGACATTCCAAAGGGCAAAGAACACGCAGAAGTTGATCAGAAATCATAATATGTGGCTAGATAACACCTGTAACCTACCAGCAGGTTTAAGCACCATCCCATAATATAATTCAGACAGGGATTGAACAGTTTGCCACTGACTATCCTTACTGCTGAGTTTTCTGAGTTATCTGTGAGCTGAATTTAATTTAGAAAAATAAAATTGAGTTTTATTGTTAAGGCAGACTATTCACTCCAGGTAAAGTTTCCCCAGTGATCGCAGCACAATATTCCTTCATGAGATCCTTACAGTACAATAGCAAAGCCAAAAATGGCAATATGAAGTGAAATGTAGAACCAGAGGGACTCAGAGATGTGTCCAAGGACCACAGTAGCAAGTTAAGGAAAAGTTGGATTCTGACACTAGTTGGATAAGCCAAGAATATCCATTCCTTCTCATATTAAATAAAAATTACTTGCCACATACAAAAGGGAAATATTTCTCTAACAATGAATTAACAAACTGAGCACTGCATGAAATCCTTAAATCATCTTGGAGACAAAAATGAACTGGAGAAAGATGGGTTACAATTCAGAAACAGTTTTACAGACTTTATTCCAAAAATCAATGTCCGGTCAGGAGACGATTTTTGAGGTTTTCTCCCTTTCTGCATGTACAACGATTTTTTGCTGTAATCTGCTTGCAACAGCTGAGCATTTAGAGAAGCCTTAGTGGCAGCACTCAGAGACTCAGAGAACTCTAATGCCAATAAGCTTTTGCTAGAGGTTCTGATGGAAAAAAAATACATGAACAGATAAGAGATTTGGAGACCGTGATTTTATATTTTGTACTATTTTTGGCAGACAAATCCACATTGATCTGAGTCTTGGGGAAAGTTACTGTAATCCTCATGGCAACAGGGACATAATGAATTTTAGGGACGAAGCAGAGGGGACAGCTAAAACTGTAAAAATGTTGAACACGGGGTTTTACAGCCTATCATGCATGTTCTTAATTCTGCTCTTGTTCCTCTCACCCTGCTATTCCATGACTCCCAGAAAACAGAATGGGACGCAGAAGAGAGGAACTAACTCCCCATAATGGTGGCAATGCAGCTTTCTAGCCCCAGACTAGCTAAAGAACAGGAGGAGTCCCACACAGTGCAACAGTGACTACGTGGCCTGAAATAGCCCAGCAGAGTACACAAGCCCAGGGAAAGTCTAGGTCACTGCTGCTCCCACGTTAGCATTGTATGTCAACCCTAAAATAACTCAGCAATGGTTAGCAAGAGTAAGCGAGGGGCTGTCTTTTGGGTTTCTGAGTCCCAGTGAAGGATCAGCAGGTCCCATGTCAAAGACAGCTCCCTTGAGGTGGGGGGCTCTTGACCAGCCCTTAGCTAATGCAGATGAAATGCTTCAGAGAAATTATAAGTGATAGCTTTGAGAACAGATTAGTTTCAGGCTTATTTTAAATCAGCGTTTTCCTACTTTGTACTTTTTTCAGGGGTGGGAGGGCAGAGAGGGAACAACTACATTTCCAGTCTAGTAATCAAGAAATTAACTCACAGGTTTACCAGAATTTGTTTTCATTTTAGGCTTTTATGTGAATTCATACAGACAGAGTAGGGGCAGGCATAGCACTGAAGTGCTATAGACAAACACCCCAGAACACTGCAAAACAAAGACAAATCTTGAGATCCCAGGGATCAGGGTACATTTCCCATCAAACTGCATGTACAAATTTAGGGCAGGTATTATTTAGTCATAGACAAAAGGAATAGTTCCCTTGGCAGCTGCCCCTCACAGCCTGTAGGACAAGCAGTGACCAACTATATAAATCTGGAAAAATATCATTTACAGGTGACAAATACCAAACACAGACTTGATTGCAGAGGGAGGAGGAGTCTGAGGGAGGGGGATTGAAGAGAGAGGGAGATGATCATCTCCAGGCCATAAAACAAAACACCTGTATAAACTGATGCCAGGGGAGACTGAAAGAATAAAGACCATAATACAGATGAATACTACCTCACTGTTGAATTTATCAATGGAATTCTGTCATCTCTTTTCTTCATTGTGAACTCTGATCTTTTAGACTGTGTTTGTTCAGATCCTAGTGCAGAATTATGGCTTTTGCAGACAAATCAGCTATGTCAATTCAGCACTGGTACACCTCTCCCAGAACAGCCTCACTGCTCTCTGTGCACTAAGCCCTTGGTAAGGTCAGAGCATTAATTCCTTTTTCTGAAACATGCATATTATTTTACACTACACAGTCCTTAAGCACTTAAGTTGCACATACCTCCAAGGGGCAGAAAAAGTACCCAGCTGACAGAAGCTTAGAAAAAATATGGAATCCACTTACAACCACCTCTTTTAAGGGTCCAAGATTAATTTTGTTAAAAAATATTAGTTTATATGATTTTAGTAATTACAATAGGTTGAGATATTCACCTTTGACTGTGACCTGAGCACTGCAAGATGCCTGTCCTTTGTTGTTTTCAGCCAGACAGGTATAAATGCCATCATCCTCTGGTAGGGCATCTTGGACAGTCAATTTTGCAACTCCATCTTCAAAAGTGGAATGGGCATATTGAATTGGCTGATCTGCAGACAGAAAGGAAGAGAATTGACTTAACACAGCCACAAGTTTCAAAAGCACATCTAGTTTTCAGTGAAATCTGGATGCCTAACACCAGCCAGTACATTAAAGTACAGAGCCAAATCCGTCTCTCTGGTGCACAGCCACTGCACTCTAGTGACTACAACCAGCAGCATCCCAAGCACAAAGTGCTTTGGGGTTGTCAGACAAAGCTCACCATTAGATTCACTGAGTGCTACCTTGAGTAGCAGCAAGAGGGGAAAGGTTTAACTTTGCATTTTGGACAGATTCTCTTTCAGCTGGATAAGACAGGAACTGTCTTGTGTTTTTGCTTCAGACATTATTTCCATCATGTAATTTGCCTGGAACTAGGTAAAATGCAGATAAAACTAGTTGTGCAAGATCTGTTGGGCATGGAGGACCACTTGAAGTCCTCCACAAGGTCCTCTGTAGTGGAAGACATTCCAAGAGAGACAGCAAGGTTTACAGAAGTCAATCTGCACTACAGTGTTAGTCCAGTAACAGACAGGTGTGGTCTGATCTGTGGTGATGTGACTATTAAAGAAGTTCATTTTAAGAAACTGGTTCCTTAAATTGCTTTGGAATGTGTTTAAATATTAGTGTAGGTGGTTTAAAGTTGCCTTGCTATTGTCTCAGGAACTGTCATCAATCTTAGTCTTGCTTTCTGAAATGCTTCTGCAATCTGTTTCCCCAATATTAAATAGTTTCCACTACTGACTCATCTTTGGTTGCCTTCCCAGTGTATGCAATGCTTAAGAGGGCCTGATACCTGTGCATAAACATCATGCTGGAAAAAGAAATTAAAGTCATCTAAGAGAAGAGGATGAAACAGAGGAATTGTGCAGGACTGAATCAAAGACATCTGTCATTTGGGAGTTGATGGTCAAAAGGAAAGATCAATATTGATTTCATTGCCAAAATAATTTCAAAATAGGACAAAGCTCTGGGGTTTGTAAGAAGCAGTTTTGTATTATGAGGATAAATTAAGTGATGCGACAGATTTTTCTCTCATCTCTGATTTTCAACACTGGCAAACTCAGAAGGCAGGCACTGTCTGTGCACTATCTATCTGCATAAAAAGTTGGGGTTTTTTGTTCCTTTATTTATAAGCCATCTGTTTGTTAAGTTAACAAATTTTCTATTGCATTAATAATTGGCATGAATATTCAATCAACTACCCAGAAAACTCCAATTTTAGAATAAACACTCTCCACCTTTGTCACAGGTCACATATTCCTATTACTGGTTCCCTTGAACTCCTTTTCACTCAGTTTACGCACAGACTGTTGTAACTATTATGTTGAACCACATAGTTTTTGCATGTGGAAATAGCACTGTGCTCAAATATGCAGATGTAGAGCTAAAGTCCAAACACACAAAGTTTTCAGTAAGAGGACACTGGGCACTGGACTGCCTTCCTGGTCCAACTATGGAATATCTGTCCTGTCTGGGATTCTGACATTCAAACTATTAGTGGGGCCAAATGATGCAATGATGCCACGTCAGAAATGCATTTGAGATAAAAGCTGCGTCATCAAAACCAGAAAAATGCCTTTTTATTTCTGTTGTAAGTAAGCAAATGAATAGGGTAAGTGTTCTGTGTGGAAAAATAAAATGTAGACTCCTTCACGATGTCCTCAGATCTTGTCAGGGCTCTTTTTCACTCCAGCTCCCAACAACACTGTGGCTATTTTTCAGCAGTATTCACAAAATAGTGAATTCACTTACAGATCAGCCTTTTCATTAGGCCCCAGAAAAGAAACACAAGTGTATAAGCCCTTAAGAATAACCTGCAGCAAGATTCTAAGTTACATCCATAGTACTTATATTTTGATGTAATAAAAACAATACTCCCAGTAGTGAAATGTTCTCTTCTCTAGAGGCAGAACAGTCAAATCTCCACGACAGCTTGGCAGCAGGAACAATAACAAAAAATACCTTTCCACTGGCATGTTATGCCTGAAGAAAGGAAATTTTCCCCTGGCCCATTTATTACAAGTTTTCTGGACAAATCACAAAACTATCCTAAAACCAAACACTACTCAGAGAATTGTTATGCTAAAGTCATGGTCATACTGTTCTTAAATTCAGAAGAAAGAGGTTCAATTCAAGTCTGTGACAAAAAAAAAAACAACTCAGAAAGCAATATGAATAGAAAGATACTTAAAATAGTAATACACTCCTTATTTCTGCAATTGAAAAAGAAGTTACCTGTAAAGTACTTAAAGAAGATGAAGTAAGTTGGAGTGACACACTGAAGTATTGTCAAGAGAGCACATGTAAACGTTATTTATAAGGCTTTGGTGAGGCCAGAACTAAAACATAAGAAGTTTACTTTCAGGGAATTTGCCAGTAAATCAGCAAAAATTCAGAAAGAAACTTAAAATAAAGGTAGAGTGAGAGCAATAGGGCAAAAGAACCATCTTGAAAAAGTTGTAGAAAAGCTTTAATGGCAGAGTTGCAGAGAAGAGTAAGAGCTCTAATAAAATTCATAGTTCAGTCAGGTACACTTATTTGTGCAATCTACGAATATGGAAAAAGTACTCATCCTCACAGATTCTGAGCTGTAATTACAGACAATGCAGAGCATACACCATATACTTTTTGTCTCGGTTGACCTTAAAGAGAGGTCACTCTGCGTAATGCTTGGAAAATGTTTGTACTCGTATGTAGTCACAGCTGGTAAAAATTATTGGTATCTAAAGTAGTACTTCTACTTGTACAAGAAGTTATTGCAAGGCTTTTAGTTCTCTAGTGGTTTGGATTCCTTGGAGATTGCAGGAAGGCAGACTGGACACCATGAAGGCTGTTCAGTATCAAGGGATGGTCAGCCTGGAAGGGAGACTGTTCTGCTTTCTTACTTCCCCTTCTTTTTTTTCCTCCTATTTGTTTCTCAAAGCAGCCCTCTGTGTTTCTTCTGATATGATAACTTGGCCTTTACATTCATTTCACCAAGATATACATCCTTTCCTCACGATTCCGCTTAAAAATTAATTCTGGCCTGTGATCGCTGTCGTGCTTGGGAGATAATTTGCATTTGATATTTTCTAGTGAACTTTACCATCCTGTCCCGGAAGATTTTTATTTCTATGGAGTTCTGCAAAAGTGCTGTGTTTTGAACAGCAGTGTGGTTGCTCTCAGCAGACTGCTTTTTCCTCTGTCGCAGCCAATCAGTTGTGAATATAAAAAGCTTTATATTCCAAATATGGACCACAGATGCTAACACATCTTTTTTAAAAACAAAATTTGTCTGCCTGCCTCAAATTATATACTGTGAATATACTGTTTTCTTCATATGGTCAGTTGATGAAAGACTCCACCAAAAAGCCACTGTTATGTCTGCTTGGAGTAATATTTCAGGACCAGACATACAACTTTCTCCTTTATTTGATCATGGATATAAATATGAGAAATTTGTAGTATACAGCTAGCTGGCAGACAGGAAGGAAATGTTTGCATTCAAATGGATATCAAAATAGCCAATTTGATCCTTAAGTAAAATAGTGATCCTAGGAGTGTACATGGAATTATCAACATTAAAAAACTGTTTATAATCCATTCAAGTTTGTATCAAAATAGTATATAAACAGTTATTTCTTACAATCAGCTGCAAGACAGAAAAGCATTAAACTATAGTGATATGTTTTAGGAGTCTGGAATGAAAGTTGTGTGCTTGTGTCTTTAGAATAATATATGATGTCCCTGATTTTCATGATTATGATAGTTTCTGTTACTGAGACTCATGACTGCCTTTTGATTTAAGAGCAGAGTTAATACACTGACTTTTTACAGAACCCTGATGGTTTGAAATCCAAACTACAACAAAAATCCACCTGTATTTTCCTCCTCATTATATTGATCCACCTGCAGTCAGAGGCTTGGATGCAATATAAACATGGTCATACCTGAACAGGGGCAGACTTATATGAGATCAGTGAGAAGAAAGGTCAGCGTAGAACAAACATCCTGAAAAAAGGCAGGGGGGCACAGTGCATCACAGAAACATGTTGCTTATTTATCTTTAAGCTGTATTTTTCAGGAGACAACAGTCTTCTAGTTAGCACAGCAGAACATGGTTACATAAATGGAGGCTGTTTCTGTGCCTGATAAACTGTAAGTCATTTGAAAATCAACCCAAAGTCAGTCACCTGAGACAGGAAGATGCTCTCTGTGTGAAGATAACTGAGTATAAGTAGATCATTCAATGACTAAGGGAACACTTTATGACCAAGGATACTCTTTTATAAAGATGAAATGACTGACCCTGAGCTGCAAGACAATTCTTGCAGAGCCCAGCAATGATTCTACTCACATCTGCAAAGGAGGAACTTCAGAGTAGCCTTCAGACAGAGAAACAAATTTTGTCCAATGGGAGAGTGTCAGAACCTTTACTCACATGTTTTATGTTGTAAATAAAGCATTGGCCTTTCTATTCTAGACATGGGGTTATTAGGAAGGTGAACAGACCATGCTGTGGGAACATACCAATCTCAAGGTCATGGTTCATTTGCCCTGCCACCTTTTTCAGTTATCCCGCTTACTCTGAATGACTAAAGAAAAACAGAGATCATGTGCAAATAACTAATTTTAAAATAATCCTGGAAGAAACATCTTTATGGCAAAGAATGCTATTCTTTGTTAATAATCACACACACACACACAGAGATAGATAGCCTGAGAGAGTGTGCAAAAAAATCAATTGCACTTCAGGAGTAAAAGAGGTAATCAAGGGTTAAGCTGCATAAATTTGTCTAGTGTTTAATAGACATGGCTTTAAATGGAAAGAGCCCTTAGCCAAAGCATGTAGTGCCTGGATTTCTGAAATCATTTGAAATCTAACCAAAACGCTGATGTTTGGGCCTAGCTCTGGTATTAAGAGAAAGTTAAGGAAACTTGACTGTTCAGTTGCGTAATGAGGGCAGGGTAGGAGATTATACAGCCTGATAAAAGTAAAACATATTTTGCTTTTCAATTTATTTTTTTAGTCAGCTTTAGGCAAACATTAGAATCTCAAGGAACATATTTCTAGCAGAGAAGTAACCAGAAGAGCCATGGTTTCAAGATCTTGGTAACGTAGCTGCTAATACCAATTGTAACCTGCCCAGCTAATGGAAGGCTGGAATCAGGCATTGGTTTCCTTCCTACTGTAAAGAGGGATATACTGCATTTATTTTGTTTAGAACTTATTATCCCTGCAGGATCACAATGCCAACCTGTTATGCTCAGAGGAGAAGCTCGTGCCAAAAGCGTGGGGGCAGCACAGGATTCAGCACAGGGCAGCAGCACCACAGATTTGTCACACATGGTGAGGGGCTGTTTGACACAGCCCAGGTAACTCACCTGGGCACGGCCTGGTCACCAGCACAGCACAGATGTGTCACAGCCGGTGAGGGACAGTGTGACACAGCCCAGGTAAAACCCACCTGGGCACGGCCTGGTCCTGGTCACCAGCGCTCCCTGCTGGGCACAGCGCGGAACTGCGGCAACGCAGAACCTGCTCCAACCACTCTTGGTGCACGTGATGTGAGCGTAAGTAAATTTTCTTCAGGTGCCCCAGGGGGTTGTATTGGGGTGATTTAGAGCGCTTTGTGCAGTATTCAGAGTCTACAGGTGTCAGGTGTTGCAGAGCAGGGGATTCCTTACCATTGAGAAGCCACGTGATGTGAGGCACAGGGACCCCTCCCACACAGCACTGCAGCACGAAGTCTTGTCCTTCACTCACAGTGCAGCCTTTCAAGACACTGGAAAAGCATGGAGCAACCTCTTCAACTTTAGGCCCTTCAAAACCAAAATGAAAACAGTTCCTTTAATCAGCTTTAGCACTTAGCGACTTTTTCTAGGTGTGCTTAGGTGACATGGCTGGGCTAACCATGGTGATATGTTTTTAATGATTTTGAGCAGTGGACTGGTATAAAAAAAGGGGTTTTTCTATTATCCACAAGGCAGGCATTGTCAGCCCTCAAGCTCTGTCTTAGGTGGTGGTTTACTGTGCCAGAATGCACCATTTGCAGCCAATCACTGTCAGCGTATGCAGCATATTACCAGAGAGCTCAGCACAAGGAACAGGAAAGATAATTCTTCTCTCCTCTTGTCTGTCTTCTCCCAGTCCCTCTCCCAAATCTCCCCTGGCTGGCAGTGAGAAACAGGGAGACTTAAGGATGCAGTTTATAGGTCTCTCATGAGACAGAAAGAGAATATCTTGGGTATTCTAGTTTAACTTCAGGTACAGCAAAATGCTGCATAAACATGATCATGGATACAGGACAAAACCTAAAACCAGGTGTAAACACTAGAATTGAGGACAAGAATTGCTAGAGGCCAACAAATTTTTCAGCCTAGTAAGACTAGTAAAACAGTGCCTTCAAGCTGAAAATAATTTGTCACTGGGACGTGTGCTTGAATTTTACAAAATGCAATTCTCATTCCTTCCCTGTTCTTCTTATTAGCTTTACTGCACCGGATTGTTTTGTGCTTTAAAAACATTTCAAATTTTCAGTGTTCTATAGAAATGCTAAGCAACTTCAAAAGAATTAAATGCAGAACAACAAAATCTTTGACAACTTGAATTAAATACAAGCATCAATAGAAAAACCAAGTAAAGAATAGGCCTCCCTTGGTACAAAACAGTCATTAAGATGGTTTTAGCTATACAAACAACAAAAAATGGTAAGTCAGAAGGGAAACTGATGCAAAAACTGTCTTGCCAGCTGTCCCACACCACATTACTCTCAGGGGTAGGAATCTGAATTAACCTGCATTGAGAAGTCAAATAAAAATCATGTGGTCACCACCCTCTGACAGTTTAAAAAAGCCCAGCCACAATTTTCAAAGTGCAGATGGGCTCACGAGAGCTACTCACTCCTGACAGTTAACAACCAGCTGGTGGAAGTCTGGCCTTTGGCGTTGACAGCTGTACAGCTGTAAGATCCACTGTCCCTCAAACAGGCTTTCTTTAACCATAGGCAATGAATCCCATCTTCTTCATATATTTGAATATCTTCTCCAGCTTTAATAGGTCGACCTTCTTTGAACCACTGCATGTCTGGTTTTGGTTTCCCTGAAACTAGACAATCAGGCATTTGGATTTTTATGAAACAGGTATTCTCCTAAGTGTAATTCCATTATTTACTTTACTGTAAATTAGGTACAACTCGCACATACATAATTACAGAAACCTTAATGGACAATACACAGAACTATTGTAAAAGAAGACAGTTTGATGTCACTGCTTTAGGTGGTGCTGTACCAACAGGCAGGAGGGCCTGTGAAAGCAACCCTGATCACTGTTTGCAGAGAGGATTCACAGGAGAGTTTCTTGGATTACTCATTAAAGTCCATTAGGGATGTTCCACTGTAACTCCCTGCAGACACCTTGCCCTTGCAGATAATTATGAGTTTGTGCTTTGGGTTCAGTGCCAAATGAAAAGGCATTCACTGGCTTCAATAAAAACTGAGTAATCTTTCTCTACAATAGGGACTACATTTCCTGCCTAACAGGATCATGGATTAGTTAAAGCTTGCAAAATGTTTGAGATGCTCTGACAGAAAACAATTCATGTTTTTAGTACTAATGTACCTGAAAAATAACCTATTCAAAAGGTGGTATGATCTTTGGAATTTTTTTGCCCCTCCTTACTCTCTGAGCTTCTGATATAAATTATCTTCTGTACTCATGGGGCAAGAACTATCAGAAAATGAAATAAATTACCATGGTTGTGTGTGTGAGGGTTTTTTTTTTTTTGCCTCCAGAGACATAAAATCCAATTTCTCTCTCATCTGTGGGAACACTTTAAGTGCAAACACAATTTAGGAAAAAAATAGCAGGAAAATGCTTCCAAATTATTTTCTACTAAAATTGGAATTGAAAAAAAAAAAGATAAGTGTTCCAAATCTACTCCCCGTATTCAGCAAAACGCAGCTCTTGTTACTCTTCTGAGAGGGTTAAAACCTGGTCAAATTTTGTGGAGCAAACTCTAAATCTCCCTTTTAATTCTGACTTTATGATTTCAGCTGTTTGGAAGCACTCAGGTCAGGTTGACCAAATATGAGATGTAAAATTAGATGCCACAAGGGAAATGCAGTGACTGATTGTATTTCCTTATCCGATAATTTTTTTGGCTCAAGGGCAATCTAACTAATTACAGTTCTGGAAAGTGTACCATCCATTTAGTCTCTTGCACCTTCATATAGGAGGGCCTAAAACTACCTCCTAGAAAGAGCAGCAATGGTTATATCTGGGGAAAGCCCAGATGAGAGAGGAGATGGACACTGCAGTATGGGATGGTTTGAAAATTTCATTAAGACAAGTATTGTGGAAATAGCATTGGATTCTGCATCTATTTCCAACAGGCTTTAGGAGGAGAACTTGCTGAGAAAGAGGAATTGCTTCCCCATTTCCACACACAGAAGGGGAACCTGACTAAACCCAGGGCCTCTGATAACTTTCATCCCTTTACCTTTGCTCTTGAATTTAACCTCCTGGCCTTCTGATGCTTCCAGGCTCTGTGGATGGCTCTCAAACCGAGGGAGAATTCCCAGAGGCTCCCTCTTCTCCTCCGTTATAGCCTTCTGGGCTCCAGATCTGTTTTCTGCTTCTCTACTCCTTGGACTGGCTTGCCTTGTCAGAGGTGGAGTTTGTTGAGCTGACATCAGGAGCTGCACAGCCCTTTTCCTGTCTTCCCCCTGTCTCATGGAAGTGGCCTGGGGTTCTGCCTTTGGTTCTGGTTGCAGTTTGACAGCTTGAAGAGTGATGGTGCTTGAAGTTTTCTGCAGGACTGGAGGTCCCTTTTTTCCTTCTTTATGTTCTTGAGGAGACACTGCATTGGCTTCTTGGTACTGTCCCTGCTTACTTTCTTTAGCTTCTCTGGTGAAGTAAAAGGACTCTTTCTTTGCTGACACCCTGTCTTTGGTTTCAACCATGAGTTCTGTGCTGCTGCATTTCAGCTCTTTAGCAATCCCATTGCTAGTTGACTGTTTGTATTCTGAATTTTCAACAGTTTTAACAGCAAGTGTGGTTGGTTTTGATGGCATGCTAAAGAAAAATGAGAAGTTTACAGATATATGACACTGCGTAAAGACTAATTATTATCAGCACTGATATAAATGTGCAAGCCCTTAGCAAGAAGGTGAAATGATTAGCCTTTACATTCTTTCACACAGATGAGCATGGATAAAAGAAGTGGAGTGAAAAGCTTCATAAAATGCAATCAGGGCTCAGACACTGTGTCAGCTGAGGAATTTCTGGATACAGATCCACTGCTCAAGTTCTAACAGGTTTTGTGAGTCAGACACTAAACTTTCACACACTGCTTTAGATAGGGAGCAATTACACAAGACCCTGAATGACCATGATGTAACACTACTTCATGCTTTCATAAATTGAGGTCAGGTATAATTATAGCTCAAATATCACATAAAATAGTTCCCTCAAGGGAAATGAAAATGTAAATTGTGCAGCAAATTTACTATTTCTAATTATGGTGTCTTATAATTTAAGTGATTTTAAAAGAGGACTGATAGGAAACTTGACCAAAGCCTAGAGAAGGGAGAGGGGGTTTTGGCAAATTAAAAAAAAAAATTGGATGGACATAGCAATGTCAGCTATGGATTTATTAGGTGGAGTTTCTCAGAATTGTAATGGATCTTCTCAGTACTTTGGGGACACAACATTAGGTGACTAATTGGGGTCTTTAATCTAAGCTTCCTTCATTGAAGTTGATTGCCCTGACCACTAAGCTATTACCTGTAGAGCACTGTGTCTGTGTCTCACATTTCCAAAGTATTATTCCAAGGCAGAATTGGAACATTTCCCTTTGAAATAAGGGAAGCAATTTCTAGCACAGCTCTGGCTTGCTATACTTAGTGCCATTGACTTATTCTTTTAGGGAGACTTGGGATATTTATTGTGGTACTTTCTTCAGCCAGAGTTAAATATACTAGAGATTTGCAGTTACAAACTGTAAGATTTTTACATTTTACAAAATATCTCTTTTTTTTGTGTGTGTGTGAATAAATCATGGAGGATGCAGAACTACTCTGGAGAATGCAATACATGAGGAGTTCTGGCTGTAGAGCTGCACAGTTTCGTTTACGCTACACTTACTTTCAAGTATGTTCCTAAAAATCACACAGATCTGAAAAACAGGGTAGCACAGCATTTTCAGTTCCACTTTGCAGCAGCCATGGAGTTAGGACAACATGAACATGCTATTTTAAAATCTCATTCAGGGCAGGTAAGGACAGATTAAACATCCTGAAGACTGTAAAGCAACTGCCCTTCGTGAAAGTGTCTTACACAGACACCTTAGAACATTTAATTCCTGCATTTTCTTTTCATGAAGAAAAGTAATTTTACAAAATAATTTTAAAAAATATTACAATAATTTAACTTTAAAAATCTTGATAAAGCCTAAAATACTATTTTTTTCTTGCTACTTTACTCACACTTTTATATGTATTTTTGGACAACAGCACAGACCATGGCCATACTACATTTTGTTTATGACAACAAAGAACAGCCAGCTCAGTACTGACAAGATTCACTCAGGTTTTTGACTTCAAAAAGGAAATTTGACCCTCTGATACAGCATCTAATTTCTATTCACAGGCTTGGGGGTTTTTTCATATTATATAACTATTTGACTAGATGGAAGCAGTGAGCATAAAACCATCTGAATTTTGCTTTCCTGGACCAGACCAGAACTCTGTACTTCATAATGTTGCCACCAGTTCCACCAACCATTTCATAGGAGTCTACCAGGACAGCTGAATTTGGCAGTAACAAGGAATCTCATTCCAAGTAAACATTTCCTAATTTCCAAATACAGACTGATCCAAAAATATTTATCACTTTGTGAGGAAACCTCATCCAATAAATGTCAAAATTAATGCACTGCAATTAAATATTCTGAGAAAGTACTGCATAAAAACATACCATGGTGGCTGAGCGTATGTGTCAGTCTTATCTGGACCTCAAATAGAAAAGAAGAAACAGGTAACTTATACATATAATACTGTACATAATTCCATACATTTGAAAGATTTTAAGTGAAGAATATACTTAAGAACCTTCATTTTTAATCCAATGAAATCACGATTGACTGTCACCACACTGAAATTGGTATGGACCACAGCAAGCTGCTGAGCTGAAACACAAAGAGGTCTTGGTCCATACTGAGACATTTCTGGGTCATGTTCTCAAGTCCCTTGAGAACTGAAGGTTTTCTGAGCCTCAAAAGCTCTGTCTTGGAAGAGAGAAGTAAGGAAGAGATTCCAACTGGGAGGCAGCTCATCAACTCCATAGAGATTGCAGAAGTGGAGAAAGACAAACCATCAATCAGTGCTACCCCTGAGCATGCTTTCAGTGAAATTGCAGCTGTCCTCTGGTTAAAACACAAAATCAAACTAACAGTAGGAAAACCTCCCAAAACATGGGCCCACCTGTGAACATTCACCAACTCATTTGCTGTGTAGCAAGTATTATCATGTTTAACATGAATAACACAAAAGCTAATGCATCACATTTTTTCACTTTGCAACACCACCAGGAAATCTGGGAGCATGGCTGAGCTATATTGATTTGCCAAGGTGCCTCATCAGCTGCACTGATAAAACTGAGCACATATTTGCCCACAGTCAGTCTCTCAGTATGTAATCCTCCAGGCATTTTCCCAAAACTTGACAGTATTTGTTTCTCTTGGGGGCAGCATGAGTTAATAAATAGTTGTAAGGAGAGAAATACCATTCCAGGTCAAATACCAACCACATCTCTCCATTTCCCCCTAATCAACACTTCAGGATGAAACTTGTTTTCTCCTGGTCAGATCAAAGTTGCACCTACGCTGTTGTCTACAAACTACAGTAGAAAAACATGTAATAATTAATTTGCAAAATAATGAACTTTTCAAGTCATCAATAAGCACTCCATAAAAATGCTTTCAGAGTCTCTGCCTCAGGGAAAAGACACAATCATACGGTGGATGATACCCTGATCTACACTGTGTTTTGCAAGCAAAAATCCACATCTAAATGCTTGGACTTGCCATACCATTCAGAGTGACCAAAAGAATCTATTTACACACAAACAAAAGTTGCAGTGGGAAAGGGAAATAACCCACTGACCTCACTTCAATAAACCTCTCAATAAACAGCAACAGAAATATAAAAAATAAAGCTGAAAACAGATTGGATAAATGTAGAAGAGGAAGCTGAATAACTACTGGTTGCAAACAAGACAATAACATGCAACCCTGTCAATTAAAAAACCATTTTCCTCCTCCCCCTCTACCTTCCTCTCTGTGAACTTGGGAAAAATGTAGCTATTGCAGCAAAAATATCTCCATGTGAGATTGCATGGATTTGAAAGGAAATGTAGTAATTCTGAGCTTCTTGACTGTCTGTTAGCATCTTGCAGCAACCCTGACGACCTGATTTAATTGACAATGAAAGAATTAGGTATTATATATTGTGGTTAGGTAAGTGGAATCATCCAATTAGTCAAGGACGTTGCAAAAGAGTGCCCTTTTTACTGACCTGTACTAATCCAAGAAAGAATGCCCACATTATTCAGAGATGTGGTCAGCATCTGAAGCAAACATACACCACAACTGACTTTGTGACCCCAGCTCCGCATCATCTCTCAAGGCAGATGTACCCATTACAGAACAGAAAGCTCACCACTTCAGGGGGAGCAATTAAGGATAGAGTTTCATGTTTAGAAAAAGACTTATTGAAAAAACCCAGCCTTTTCTATAAAACCTCCTTTGAATAGGCAAACTGTAGAAGCTTCTTCTACAATGCCTTCATCAGATTGGAACCTACAGGTAAAAAGTACAGCTTTAAGTTATATAAAGGTTCTGAGCATATATTGTGGTTCTGAGCATCCCAAATGTTAATCCCCTTGTTATTTATATTATTGATACCTTACAGAGTGCCAGCATTGATGTGAACCTAAAAATCTTGCAACAAAAAAATTACCCCACTGATCTTATGACTGCAGCTGAAGCCAGCAGCTGTTGATTGGATTATTTAACTGCGTCCAGTGACTGCTTACCCACAGACTGAAGAAATTCTCTTTAGTGTGCTTGCTGAAGGCTGTATTTTGAGGCTATTGTAAAGGGTGCCCTAAGAAGTATCAAACTGCAAAATGAACTGTATATGACAAAGCATATATAGAACGTCCTAAACTATTTATGCAAAGACACTTGTTTCCTTTACAAGCAGTGAAATAGGTGGGATCAGGAGCTGAGATGCCTAAATTTTAATCTCATTAAACTGTTCTTTACGGTTTAGGGTTATGATTCTTTACTTTACTTCCCTAGTTCTACAAATATAGAACAATTTTTTTTCCCAAAAGAGAGTTGGTACAAATGTGCATCTGGTGCTAGTATTCAAGAAGTACAAAATTAATTACTGATTACAATGACAAGTGAAAGGCTTCCATTTGCTGAAATGAAAATCTATATTCAAAACATATAAAAGTCCAAATCACAGTAAAAGTGAAAACTTGGTTTTAAAGAAAGTTGTTACAAAGCACTTTCAATAGCCTTTTTTTCCACTGAACCAACGCAATGTTTACAGCTGCAGCACATTCCAGGCTACCACAGTATCATTTAAGGAAGAGAGAAAGAGGAAGACAGTGGGAAAAAGTGAATGTTTCTTGTGGATATACTGAGAACACGACCAGAAATATTCTAAAGGAAGGTCTGTGGTTCACTTTTGTCTCTCCTGCAAACTCTTTGCTGTACCTTGCACGGTGAGCTCTGCAGACACAGATGCCTTCCCAGCGCTGTTTACCACTGTGCACGTGTAAATTCCCGAATCAGCAAGCTGAACATTTTGGATTTCCAGGAACTGGATGCCTGTTTTCTCGTACATGTTGAAACGCTCATTTTGCTGCAACTGAGTGTCACCCTGCAAATGTCACAAGACACCATGAGACAGATAGCTATTGTTAAGAGAAGGGGAGCAAAAATTTGTTTGGCAAAATACCAGGTCAAAATGCCTTTCTCCTACTTTTTAGCCAGATCCCTTCTATGAATAATAGTCATATGGTATAAACAAAAAACTGTGTCCAAAATTCTGTAAATCATGTCTGCAGGAGACTGTTCTTTCCCTCTCTTTTGTCATCCACTCATCTCAGTTTAGTTTTGGCTTTTCATTATTTATTATACCCATATTCCTAGAAAAAATTCTTTTTACTGTCTGTGGGCTCAAACCAGTTTTGTCTTCACACTTGTTCCAGGAAATCAAACATCTTTTAATAAAAAAATCAAATGCTTGTAAGTAAAAGCTTCCAAGTTGGAGAGTAGTTCTCTATCCCTCAATAGCTCTTTTAAACTGTATTACTTCAGAAAGTGCAAAAAGATTCTGCATAAGAGGACCTCATCCATGGCCAGGTGGAGGTGACAGAAAGTTCTAGGTATACTAAGAGATGCATTGCTGCAACACAGCTCCTTTGCAGCCCCATACTAGAGTTATATCCAAAGATAAGGCTTTGAGATAGGAATAAATGCATGTAGTTCTATGCTCTCTGTTATACAGAGCAGGTGATCAGAATGATAATTTTTCCCTTTACATTCTACAAAATAATTGACCACTCAATTTGCTCACTCATTTGTGAGCAAACAAATGGTTCTGCTTCAGCAGCCATTAAGGACAAGTGCCTTGCTATCAGGCACCACAGCTTCTCCCATCCTAAGTTTAGGAGACAAAAGCAAACAAATCTACAATTTGTAGGGCTTTGGTCAGTAAATATTTGGGGAACATTACACTATTTACAAACACTGTCATTCTTGAATTCTATCAACCTGCTGCTATCTGGGTGCTGTAGGTCCTAAAGGAATTAAAAACTAGTTCACATCAGGGGGGTTAGTGATGATACAGAAGCTTCTGTTCTTTGCAAGTTAACAAGTAAGAAAATTGGAAAGAAAACAATAAGCAGATTAAGATATTTACACAAAGGCTTATTCATCAGTTCTGAAAAGTGTCATTTTAACTGCTGATAAAGCTTCCACGCTGTAAGGAAGGTGGTCATATGTTGTCTCCGCAGTAGCCATGTGGTCCAGCAGTCATATAATTTCATTTCCAAGAGTGTCTGAGGCAGAGCTGAAACACCCACCACTCAGCAGGACCCTGCAGCGCTGTCCTGACAGGACCAGTTGTAGGCCTGAAGTTGTTCACAGGTAGCCAAAGCACATGCATGAATACCAGTTAATCCATGCCTTATGAACAGGGATGCAAGGACAGGATTCACAATAACAACCTTCCAATAAAGCTCTGATAAAGAGCAACTACACATTTGCATTTTAAAGGCATATGGATTACAGAAAAAACTTTGTGGTGTTTAAAATAGATACTAAAATAATATTATGAAAGTGTGAAGAAAACCAATTTAACCAAAAGCAATGGATTGAGGGTAAGTTCAAAGGAGTGAACTGGGTGTCTGCAGGCCAGCAATGGTATCACTACTGAACCTCTAAACAACACAACTCTGGTATTTTACAGAAAAATATATGCAGACCTGCAAGTGTTAAAATATGTTTTTTAGGGACATCAATATAAACAGAACATACGGGGCTGCTAATAACAAGAACTTTACATACATCTCCTTTGAATCAGAGAATGAATGCCAGATTATAGCATTAACACATTATTGAAGCTGACAATCAATACCAAAATGTAAAATATAACCTCCAGCAAAAAATGTATGAAGAAGTACCAAAGTGTAGATCCAAACTGCTGGACTGGTAGTCCCTGCTTCCTGCTTACCACACAGCCCTGAATAAAGAGAACTGAATAACAAATCCTGTTTTGCATGGAGCTTCATGGCTGGAAAACCTGAACGAGTCTGGTGGGACTGGAAGCAGGCTGTTGTGGAGCAGCCAGCAGGTCCCACACAACTGACGGCAGCTGGAAGGAGCAGCAGACTCCAGGTGGAGCTGCCAACTCAAGGAGATGTCAATGAGTTCTTCCACAGCAAGAGGCTGCTTGTTTTCAGATATGTGCCCTGGCATTCTTGTATTACAGACAAGGATAAGTCTAGAATAAAGCAGATGATGACTTGGAAGCATTTCCCTGTTCTATGAGCAATTTTCTGGTTTTTTTGTGTTTTTTTTTTTAATGGTTTCTTCCCCTCCTCCTCCCCTCATCCACCAAAAATCTTAAGACACCAGGAGAAAATCTAGATCTTCTTTGGTACTTTCAGATGATTTTTTTGGTACAAATATTTTCAACAATGAGACAGATAAAGGAGAATTTTATACTGAGAAAGAACACTATTATCTTTTGTGAGTTTATTCAGCATAAAAAATGAGGAAAAATACCTCTCTCCTTACATGTAAATTCTCAACAGGAATATTTTGAGTGTCAAGTGCATGTCCTTCTTTCAACTCACAAAATTTCAAAAGAGAAAGAAAACATAAATTTTTGGGGAAATCATACCTTAAACCAAGTTACTTGAGGCTGAGGTCGTCCTGTTATTTTACACGAGAATTTGCCTGTTTGGCCTTCACGCACAACAACTCTATTGGGTTTTGTAGCAAATTTAGGTGGACTTTCTCCCCAGATGCTTGGCCTCTGCTCCACAGATGGAACAGCAAGTCTTCCCCTGGAAAGGCAATTTACATTCTGGTTTTACAGAAGAACTGGAAGCTGTTGTGGTTAGAGCACACATCAGGTAGCATTTTAGGCCAGTGGTCTGCCAACAAGGGTATATAATTGGTGGCAACCAAGACTGTAGTTACTCCATATTTTTTTGGCCAATGGAAGAAATGGAAATGCTGGTAATTACTGCTCTTGACTCCTCATGCAACTAAATAATATTATGCTAGGTACTGTAATCTATCATACACATAACAGATCTTGGGGACATTTTCAGTTGCTTATAAGCAGAGCTGGGCAAACCAAATGATAGGAAACACTGTATGCATTTAGTTTTTCCCATTTTCTGTTTCTTAGTTACCTTCCTAATAGATTATTTGTGCAGACTTGTTCACTGTTCACTGTTTTTTATCATGTAATTTGTTTTGCTATTGAGTGCAATGACATAGTAATTAATTTCTGATTTATGAATCAGCACTTTGTTTTTGCAACACTTCTGACATGTCCTGGTAAATATTTTTGGCTTGGGGAAGAATTTTGTTTGTAATCTCATTGCTGCAATGTTTGCAAAGCAAACATGAAGAAGGCACAAAACCAAAGTACACCCATCTCGGGTGAATGACTGTTAAGTGTAAATGCCCAACTCTACTTACATGGCTGGCACAGCTGGGAAATGACAGGTGGAACGAAACTAGAGTGGCATCAGTGACTGCAGTCCAAAACCATAAACAGTTACACAACCATAAAACATCAAGCAATATTATAGGATGAAAAAATAAAAAAGATGCAATGTCAGGTCTGTTAATGTCAATGGGAACACACTCACTCTTTGCTCTGAAGCCTTGGTACAACAAAGACACATTAGCAGATGGCAGATGGTGATTTCTTTTCTTTTCTTTTTTTTCTTATGTTTAATTTCAAGCAAACTGAACCATTTTCAAGGCCTTTGTTTCCAGATGGCCCTTTGCCACATGCAAGTAAGATGTGTCAATACCTCAGCATTCCTACCAGGTGTCAGATACTAACAGAGACCTCATCGCCTCAGTCCAAGGTGCTGCCAAGACATGACGGTTGCCATAAAGGCAGCTTGAGGTGTCTAAGTAAGAGATGATACCATAATGAAAGGGTTTACATGGACAACAGGACCAGCAAGAAGTATTGAGAGAGAAGGATGACTGTAATATGCTAAAATGAAAATTGCTTAATCATATAATTGAATATCTGATAGCTTTTAATGTCGTCTTCCTCATGGTACCACTAAGGAAGAGTATAAATGTGTATTAAAGAAGTCTTTTAGTGACCATCTTTAGGGGGTCTAAGGTTCCTATAGTTATATATCTGTGCACATATACTAACTCATTAAAAGAAAATCACCTACTAGCTGGCCTGCAGCTTTCTGGCTGGTTCCTAAACATGCACAAATGGAAATGTATATTTTTTTTCTTTTCCCCTTTCCCCATCTATGTAAAGGCATAAACTTGCCATACCATAAAATTATTAATACTGAACAGGAGCAAAACATGGGAGCATGAAAAATGAGGACAATCACTCTAACTCTGTGCAATGCAGTGGATTAGGATTGTGCTTTGTAAAGTCTGAATGTACAACAAAACATAACAGCAACCTTAACTGTCCTTTCTTGCTTTGATTATTTGTCTTGCATGTATTTCTGCAGCACATTTACAATACAGACTTTATCATGTAAAAGCCTTCCTGATTATTTACCATTTTCTTTTACTTAACCATTTTCACTATTGTAATCTCAGTTAATTTTAAAATTCAAAACAAAGATAAACAATGTTCATATCAGTGATGAAATGAAAATCTTCAGTTGTAACTATCTGTATTCTGATCACTAACGTAATCAGAAACATGGATTTTTGTCTATATCCAGGGAGACTCATTGCCAGGGATGTGAATCAGAAAAAATTCTGCTTAAATTCAAACTACTTATAAAACAAAATAATTCAGCTCTTGGAAGAATTAGGTCTGAGGTTTTTAAAACAGTGGCATTCACTTAATTGTAAATGTTTACTGAAGTGCATAAAGTACATGACAAGAAGTAGACTATTTTATGTGCCAGTTTAGATCACCCCATCGGCCCATTCTTGGTAACAGTTATTCCAAACCAGAGCATTTATTTCTTCCAGACTACAGTTCACCTGCTGTGCTGCTTGGAAATATTTAAATTCTGTGTGAGAGAAGGCTGATTTCAGTTGCTTTTATTTCTTACTGATGACTCTTAAAGCAGTATTTGCTCTGTCTTTATATTTAATATTTTGCTCTGTCAGGTCATGGAAGTTTTGGGGAAGGATTTCTGAGTATCAGAGAGCAGAAACAAGAGAGTGCAATATCACATCAGAGGACGGTGCAATATTGCAGGTATCAGCAGGATGTTCTGTTTTCAGCCAGATTAATTCCTCAGTCAGCATGTGGGAGCACTAGCTGTATCCTCACAGTCTCAACCATTTTGCTAACCCTGCAGCTCTCATGGTAGCTATTCTGCTTGGGATAAATGGAGATTTTTAGAAAGAGTAATTTTACTTGTTTTCCTACCAAAATATATTAAAGTGTCTGGTAAACAATATCAAAGCCATTGGACTTCTTACCCAGGTGTTTTGGCACTGGATGGCAGGCTGTATTTCATCAAGGAGCTTCCTGTAACATAGGATAGAAAAACGGGAAGTCAGAAGCTTTGTCAAGACCATTGGGAATTACAGACACTAAAGACTATGTAAAATATGCATTTCTACAGGTTTCAAACGCAAAGGAGAAATGCAACATTTGCAGTGTAAGGTTATGTCATCTGTAGTCTCAAAGTTAGGCTCTCCAATTTCAAAAACAAGCTTTAGCACAGTTACTGTCTACTTAGTAGTTACAACACTGCAGAGTATTAATGCAAAAATATTTTTAAACAAGTGAATGAAACACTGTGTCTAATTCCAACAGTGCAGCACTAATTCGAATTAAGATAGCAAAAGAAGGTTTTTGGACTGTGAAAGAGGTCTTACTTCACTTGTTTGGGTTTTCAGCCCCATGCTAGCCCACACCACCTTTTCTGTAAAGAAAACGAAGCTTCTCCCTTGCTGCCTTGCGCAGGAGGGAGATCCCTGCGCAGCCGTGTAATCCCAGCGCCACCTGGTGCACACAGCGCCCGGGGAGCTTTGGGACCGACCTGGGGGAGACCCAGAGCCGCAGCATCAAACAAACAAGCCTGATGGCTGTGAAAAAAATACTTGTTCTAGAGCCTTATAAGAACCCACATCACTGTCAGACAGGACAGCCATGCAGATGGAAAGACTAGATCGTGTTTCAGTAGCATTTGTCAAGTAACAGTCGGCCCCACATAGGTATCTTTGCTGAGAAGAGAAAAAAATCTGTGCTTTGCTATCTTGATGCATAAAGGGATTTTTAGAATAAGGACCATATAATTCTCAAACTCTGAGAAATTCGGTCATTGGGTACTGCCTTGAAGTTTCTTTTAAACTGCATCAAAGCCCAGGACAGAAAAACTGATATAAAAACAGCTTTAAAAAAATCTTCCACCTCCATGTAAATTATCACTCATAAAGTTGTCATGGCTTAAAACTAGGGGCATAAAAGATTTTGCATGATTTTTACAACAGAAGGCATTAATAATCACGCCAGATCTATGCATATTTCAGTATGAACTCTGAGGATATCTGTTAGAGATTTTGACTGTGAATAAACCTAAATGCTGATTGTTTCAGGACTGCTTCAGATTTTTTTCTTTGCTTCAGGAATTCAACACAAAGTTGTGACCAGAGAGGTTGTGACATTCAACAGATCTCTGACATGACCAAATTGCAGTACAATTGATTTCAATCCTTCCCTGGCTTTGTGTCACTCTTTAAATTTTACATTTGGCAGTTTGCAACTATCTAATATGCAGATGTTCTCTTAAAAATTCCTGGGTTTGATCTTGGCTGTTTCCCGTGTGACATTAAGCGTGCGATTATAACCAGGCGTGCAGCTTAGCAAATGGCAGCGTGCATGGAGAACTCCAGAAACCCACTGACTCAGTGTGCCTATCTGTGAAGCGACCAAGATGGCCACAGTTTTTACTGCCTGAGAGAAAATGTTAAGTTTCCAGGCCTTTGTTTCTGTCCTGAGTGGTGACTTCCAGGAAAATTACAGAGTTTATAGCAAAATCTGTAAAGCTAGGACTTGTGTTAGCTGGGCATCATCATACACACATGGAACTGAACACACACTTTATCCAGCGGTAGGCATTTAGTTCCCTGAAAAATGCCTTAAACTGTGGAGTTTCTCTTGCCCCAATAAGAAAACACAAGCTGTGATTTTAACTAGACAGTTTAACTCAGCTTATTCCTTTAATTAAACTCTATAATCATCACTGCAGTAATGTAAGTATCCTCTTACCTTCCACTGTCAGTTCCACAGTCACTTGACGAACCCCACCATCATTTGCAGCCTCACAGGTGTATTTACCACCATCACCTTCCTGCACACCTTTGATCACCAAGCTGAACACCCCCCGAATGCTGTGGTCCACGACATAATGGTCTCCCTCTGGGACAGGATGCCCATTTCTGTACCACGTGATCTGGGGCTCGGGGTATCCTCTGACCTGAAAAGATGTGAGAGAGATGGAGAAAGAAGGTAAACTTAACAGATGATGACATCAGGAAGAAATGTTGGACATTTAGCAATGCAGTGGAAAGTTCTTGACACGGGAGCTGTTAAACACATATTCTTTGCAAGCCAAATGGCAGAACACAGTGAAATGAAAAAACTCTTGGATAAGTCAAACTTAAAATCATAAGATTAGTCAGGCAGATAGATACCTATGCAAAAAATCTTCCCACTTCTATGGTTTCTCCACAGAAACAAAGTGACAGTGCCGATGAAGAATCCTTACCCTGGGTCCTCACTGTTCAGAAACTGAAGGGCAGTAGTGCTACTACACCTCTAAGAATGCAAGACTACAAGGTAGCCAGACCAAAAATTTCTAGCATGATTGCCAAGGATTGGGCTTATAATGGAAATGTAATGAGATATAGTGGCTCCTGACAATATACAGGCAAGAAATGCAGACACGTATCAAATTTTGCCTTGATCTTTAAGAGCAGAAGATAAGGAGTTGCAATTTACGAAAGTGTCATTAAGGGTCATTCTCATATTATGGAGGGAGGGAGACTATAAGCACCTACATATATTCACACAAAAACACTACTCAACTTAAACAGCTTAGTGGTCTACCCAAAAGAAGAATTTTCAAAAAAATGAACCAGTCCTGTGCTCATTAAATATTAATATATCCCTTCCTGCTATGGCATTAATGATACCTTCAGATTTGCAGACAGATCCTCAGTTGGTAAAACTGAGAACTGAGTTATTGATTTCAACTGAGCTGTTGCAACTCAATGAGGATCTGTGTGTTTCTTTTGCAAAAAAAAAAAAGGAAAGGGAAAAGCAGACATACACCAGTTTCCACCAACAAAATGACTACTCAGGCAAAGGTTCTTCCTCTGCTGTACGAGAGATCCCATCCCCTTTGAGGGTCGCTTTACTATGTGTTAATTGTGAGTAAGTTTCTCCAGTCATCATAACAACTCCTGACTGCAGAACTTCTCTCCTAACCCCCACTCTGATATGTTCACTCCCCATCTTCCAACTCTTTGATCCTTTGCCTACATGTCATGAAGTAACTGAGTGGATCAAGATGAGCTGGGATGAGTAATGGTTGTGGCTGTGTTTGCTCAATGGGAAAGAAGTAGTGTTGCATTCTGAACTACATTATCAAATTTTGGCAACTGAACAGGAAGTCCCTTCAACCTCCAGGTGGGCAAAATATTGATGATCTGTCTTGATTTGAAGAAGGCTTGGTTGTGGCTTGGGCGAATTCCTCCCAGCATTCTCCTCTCAGTTTCCAATCCTCGTTTCAGCTCTGCTTTCTCTGACTGCACAGCACTTACTTTCCAAATTAAAATCTTTAACCAACCAACCTTACCCATTCCTAGGTTCTCTTCTTTCAAAACCTTTCATTTTTAATCCAGCCCCACCTCACTCCAGCTGGGTTTCTCATCTGCTGGAGCTTAACCTACAGCTGTCAGAAATTTTTATTTTTCCTTTAATTCTCTAGGTATCAGTTCAGAGAAATTAATTTTGCCAGTGATGTGATGACCTCTTCTTCCTGACACCACTTACTCAATATAAAGGACATTAATGTTTGCCAAGAGTGTGAATATGCTGAATAAGCTGAAGAAACTTTCCACTTTGGTACCAACTTCTCCAGTTCTTTCTGAGTCTATCTTTACCTAAGCAAGAGCCATGTTCCATGAAGAATAAATTGTGGGATCGTGCACATTGAGAGCTGATTCCTGTTTAAAAAAACCCCGCAGCATCTTTCTAAAGCCATTTTGTGGCCATGCCTTTTCTTTTCTGTGCTTTCTGTAAAACAACAGCTCCCACTCAACCCAGAATTCTAACCCTTCTCCAGCAAATTGGTTTAGTGCTTACTCAGAGCACAGGCTCCAAGGAATATCTTTCTCAGCACAATTCATTTTTAGAAAAAGGGAATTGTGAAGCATCAATATGAGATTGTTACAGTACTGTAACTCCTGTTATTTGACAATGTGCTCATTGGCACAGAAAGTGACTTGTACCAAATAACTGCTTCTTACTATTAAGTTGTCAATGCCCTTGTACTCATCTTTTCATTCTAGATTAAGAAACCAACAGAGAGATTAAGTGATTTAACCAAAGAGTTACTACCTCTCATTTTTACTTCACTAAATATTAAGATTTCCTTGAAATATTTGAGGCAAAATGCCTTTCAAACTGTTACATCAAGTAATACAATACAGTAAAATGACAGAGTAGCACTTGAATGATGTGAAGGCAGAACCACCTTTTCAGTGCATTACATCACAACCCCTTCACTAAAATCAGTCTAACCACATCTGTTTACAGCTGCCGAGATTCTGGCCTGTGAATGCAAGTCATCAATTACACATCACTTAATATATTTACTGTTTTTTTCCAGTTCACAGTAATTCTTTCTGGTGTTTTCGTTGCATTGTTCAACCCAGCTTCAAAGCTCCCAAGTATTAACATTCCATCAATTATCCCAGGGAACAACTGGGGTCGAAGCAATGGGAAATACCTTTCCTCCTTTTCCTTTTTGTTTTATAATATTCTTAAGTCCCTCTTGGACCACACAAGGCCATTTTTAGCTGACTCCTGAAGCTCTGGTATACCATTATACGTGTCCTTCCAGTGTCACATGACTGAGGCTACAATAAGTATTTTTCCATTTCTTCTATGTGTGTTTATTTTATGCTCGCTGTGTCTGTGTTATTTTGTTCATCCACACCTCTACACTGAGGAAATGCCACACCGAAAATTACAAACACAGGCAATCAGCATGCCATTTCCTTCCAAAAGTTTGAGTCATTCCCTTCCCAAACTCTAATTTTTTTTCTTTTATTTTTTGTCAAAAATGAAATGATGGGAAAGCAGAAGTTTACAGAATTGCTCTGTTGCAAGGATTTATTTCAGGTTTGGGTTTGGAATGTGTTTCAAACTGAGCCAGACCTCTCTGAAATACATAGTCTTGCCATAAAAGTGTCAGGGACCCTTAAACAAATCACTGGTTACTGGGTTTTGATCCTAATGGATCAATTCCAGAACTGCAGCAGGTTTTATATTCCTCCCAACCTTTCCAGAGCTCACTAAAAACATCTGCCTTGAATAAATCCACAGCAAACAGAAATTTATCTGCTTATTTAATGCCCAGCAGCAGAAGGCTATAACCTTTATTTACAGCTTGGCCTGTGTGAGTATTGCCAGTTCCATTGAGGCTACAGCTTCTCTTTACCTGTTCTACAACAATAACAAGTGGAAAATTGACAGCAAGCAGCAAATAGCCATTGCATCAGCACAAACATGAGTTTTGAGTTTTTATCTGGACGCATCAATTGCTTAGAGTGTTCCTGGGAAAGTCTGCTAAGGTAAAAGAGGCCTTCTGCTCTGTGCAGAAGGGGACAGCAAGGGGACAGAGCTGAGAGAGAACCTGTTGTGTGTGAAACTCCCAGAGTTAGGATTGTTTTGCATCTGGGTCTGAGGGAATACTATTGAAGAGGGCAGCACTAGATGCCCAAAGAAAAGAAATAAGGGGTCAAAAATAGAACAAATCTATGGAAGCCGTACACTAAAGGATAGAATTATTAAAAAATGCACCAGTACAAACTATTCCCCTCTGTCACAAAGCAAAAGGCATTCAGTGACCACCAATGGCAAATATATTCAGTGATCCTTTTGCTTGTTCAAAAGGACAGGAAAGATTTTTTAAAAATTAGCCTATATCTTAAAAGAGCTGTTTATACACTAATTTCAAAGAACCATATGTTTGCCTACTTAAACACATCACTGGCTCCAGTGAGGTCAACAATGAACATAAACACACAGCACACAAACTATTCCCCTCTGTCACAAAGCAAAAGGCATTCAGTGACCACCAATGGCAAATATATTCAGTGATCCTTTTGCTTGTTCAAAAGGACAGGAAAGATTTTTTAAAAATTAGCCTATATCTTAAAAGAGCTGTTTATACACTAATTTCAAAGAACCATAGCTTTGCCTACTTAAACACATCACTGGCTCCAGTGAGGTCAACAATGAACATAAACACACAGCACCCAAAAGAGTCAGCAGTAAGTGACAATAAACCAAAGTGTAAGTGAAACTGTGAAACACTGATGGGCTGTGAACCATTATTGAGAATTTCTCACTTTGACAGTAACACCTAAAGACTATTAGAAATGATGGCAAACATTAACATGACATATTCAAGCACTATAATCATTATACTGGCTGAGATGTTCAGTGCTTGATGTTAAGGACTAGATAAATGTCCCATTTTCCTACTTAAGGTCATATTTAACACACAAGCAATGAGATCAGGAAGAAAACAGCTTTCAAAAGGATTTATTTGCTTGCAAAATCTCCTCAGATTGCATCATATATACAGGTACCCACAAATTGTACTACGACTGGCAACGTTACAGCTGTTAAGAAGTTGCTATTCAAAATAACTCCCCTCCTAGAGATGATTTCATATGCTGCAATATGAATTCACTAATGACTAAAATTGCTCAGAAGAGACAATCCTTCTCCCATGAAATCAGAATTTTAGGACATCCAGATTTTGTCAGCATACAGCATTCAGTTGTGCTGCTATTTCTGTAGACTACCTTTGCCTTAATTCCACAAAGTCCAGAATTAAGACCTATGTGTGTGTTGTATTCAATCAATTCAATAAAAGAATCATTTGTATTTGTGTGGTTCGATCCATCTGAAGAAACTTGATTTTGAATTTACATTTGAAAGACAGAAATGTTATCTATTCACATGCTATTCAAAATGAAGCTTTCAACCTAATTTTCACACCTTGCTGCTTTTTGAGGAAGGTTGTCCCCTTTGTTGGCTCTTAAAGAATAACAGGGTAGTATTTGAGGACACGGTTTAGTGGTGAACATGTGGGGTGAGAAGCTGGTGGTTTGACTTGATGATCTCAGAGTCCAACCTTAATGATTCTATGATTCCATGATGTAACACTCCAAAATA